AGGCTTGGTCATGTAAGTTCACTGAACTTGTACCCAAACATGGAGCATAACAGCCCAGAAAACTGGACAGTTGTCTCCACCCTAAGCTCTGTTGTGATCCTGACAGGAAATAGATTTGCAAACAGTTACTGCCATTATACTGGGGAACAGCTTACACAGTGAACCTCAATCCATGAAAAAGAAAGCTAAAAGTGATTAAAGGGGCTGGTCTGCTCAGTGTGCAGACATACATGTATGATGAGATATCCTTCAAAATTCTAAAGATTTTTCATTCTCTCAAAATCAGAATTGTGAGTTTCCATTACTTTCAAAGATAGTTTACAGGCTTTGAAGTACTCTACAGTTATTTAGATTTAGATTTAAGCCCCAAACTCCCAGGAAGCATGCCAGAAATTTCCCCTACTACTTCTCCATACAGGGTACCTAAAATAATCTATTTTTGGTACTTGTCAAAACATGTCTTCTTTTAGAGCAGTACTTTAAAGAAGCTGATTTGGCTTGTTGAGTGTTACATTCAGTACAGGTGTGGTTCTGTATGTCATAGCAACTGTCGTTAAGTAACAGGTTAGGCTTCTGATTTTTGTTTTCAAATTTTTCTATGACAATACAGGAGGAAATATTAAAGACAAACAATTCCTTCACATGTATGGTGCATTATTGTACAAATAGTGACTTTGAATAACAGCAGTGTAGGGAGATTAAAAAGAACTAAGTACTTGGGACTTTATTATTAGTGGTAGGCTTATGGATCAGAGTATCCACCAAAATAATTATGAGAAGAAGAGAATTATTACAAGCTGGTCTCTGAGGCTAACTAATTTAAAAGAACAGCATTACTCAGACTCATCTGCCTCTTATTATTTTCACTTTTTTCCAGTAAATAAATGCTTATTGTTTGTGTCAGTTTTTTATTAGCCCACAGTTCAGCCTCCAGGCAGTTAAATGGAAAAAATCCACAAGTTTCAGATTGCACACTATGCAAAATAAATATGCAAGTATCTTTTCCCTTTTTTACACTCTGAGGAACTGAATTTGTGAAGGAAAATCACTTTGTGTAAAGCTCTCTATTTAACCACAAGAGGGAGAATTTTGCCTTCAGTTTGAAAAGAGACTGTGCGTTCTTGCTCTAACTGAAGAAGTCTGTGAGAGCTTTTTCCACTAAGACAGGAATTGCTCTAACATGTTAAAGTTACTAATACTTAAATTTTGCAGAAATTCCTGAAATATCAGTAAGGAATAATTTTCATCACTGTCTTTGCTCTACACTTGATTTACATCATTATGTCCAAATGGACAGAAATCTGGTCCCTGCAGTTATATGTAGCTCTCTGTCTCAAAAAAACATGTATAAAGTGATGTTAGTCAGGATGTGAAACTACCAAACTATGACATTATAATTTTTTAAAAATATAAAACTCTGGATTGCCTTTTCAGTAACGTTTTCTGAAAAAAAATAAAAATTATATATATATATATATATATATATATATATATACACGTTATTGGTCATCAAAATCCTGTATTTTGAAATGATTTATATTCACAAAATACATTTCTGCTATTTTAGGCATCAAAACTTCCTAGATGCCTTTCGACCCAACCAACTACGTGGTTTGGTAACAAATATGCACCAAACGAACCACTGCAATTGTTTCTGTGCACACTTTTAGCCTGCTGCAGAGGCATAACATCACGATAACATTTAACCTCCTGTCCTGGTTAGCTAACTGGAATCCCCTTAGCTTGTGAGCTACAAATGTGTGTACAGAAGGCTGGCATTCGGACTCAATCAATATCACTAGTTTTACTGCAGTAGCTTCTTGTTTCAGGTCCCTAAATGTCTGCCACTGAGCACATGAACATGTACATAGGTCTGACAGCTGTGAACATCAGATATACACTCTACAGGGGTCTGAAAACTGACATTCTCTATCCTGAAAAATACACAGATCCTGAAGAAGTGGATGTACTCAGATGACCTCTGATCCCAGCAATGACAGCCAACTTGCAGGTTGTATATTCTGTGTTTAGTCAATAATTATGAAATTCCTTCTAAAGAAAATACTTTTGTGTCTGATTCCAAGGAAGGTTCACAGCCAAATGCAGAGAGATGTGCTGTTGACATTAACTTGACACTACCTTGTTTACAGATATAGCTTAAGATAGACCCTGCATCTTCCTTTAAATTTTCATTCCTCTCCTTGTTCTATTCCATACAGCATGTTTTGAAAGTGTGAATCTTGCTTTGGCACTAAAATTCTGAACTGCAAAGAGGTCATGTTGTTTACCTTTACTTTAGATAGTTTTTCACACAGTCCCTCAAAAAACCTTGAAGACAAGCTTACAGAATAGAGGTTAGATGAGTGCACAGTGAAGTGTAGTGAACACTGGCTCAATGGCTAGGCTCAGAGGGTTACAACCACTTGCAAAAATCTTGTTGGAGGCTAGTCACCCCAGGGTAAAAATGGGTACAGACACTTTTTGCTGTTTTCATTGGTAAGCCAGATGAGGAGGCAGAATGCATCATCAGTAAGTTCAGAGATGATACAGAACTGGGAGAAGTGACAGACAAGCTGGTTGTGTTGACTTTCATAGACACCTGAATAAGCTGGAGAATTTGTTTGAGAGACATCTCATGAAGACGAACAAGGAGAAATGCAAAATGCTGCATCTGGGGAGGAATAAAGCCAGGCACCACTACATTCTGGAGGCCAACTGGCTGGAGAACAGCTCTGTAAAGAAGAATCTGAAGACCTTGTTGGACAACAAGCTGCCCATGAGCCAGCAATGTAACCTCATGACCAAAGTTGCCAACAGCCTCCTGGGCTGCATTAGCAAGCCCACTGAAAGCATATGGAGGGAGCTGATCTTTACTCAGCACTTATGAGGACACACCTGGAGTAACATGTCCAGTTCTGGGTTCCCCAGTAGAAAAAAGCTAGGGACTTACTTGAACCAATGCAGGAAAGGGCTGTAAAGGCAATGATGGGACTGGAACATCTCTCACATGGGGAGAAGCTGAGAGCTTGGGCTATTCAGCCTGGAGGATAGAAGGCTTAGAGATACCTTATTCACATGCACAATATGAATATGAACATACCTGATGGGAGGGAATGAAAAAGACAGAGCTAGGCTCTTCTCGGGGGTGCCCAAAGACAGGGCAAAAGGTAACAGGGCATGAGTTAAGAAACACGGGATTTCATCTGAACACAAGAAAACACTGTTTTACTTGGCAGGTGGTCAAACAGGTTGTCCAAAGGGGTTGTAGACTTTCCATCCTGGAAGATATTCATAACATAGTCAGACATAGTCCAAGACAACTTGCTCTAGCTGACCCTGTTTTGAGCAATGGGCATGGACTAGATGGTGTCGAGTTCCCTTGAAACCTCAACCATTCTGTGAGGTTCTATATGAAAGACAAATAATGACTACTGTGCTTTATGACTATACACAGCCTTCTTTTATTCAAGAAAATTTATCAATTTTACCTCTTCTTCCTTGCCTAAAACCTTAACATGTAAGTGTAAAAAATAAGCTCCGCTTTTCTATGTATATGCTAAGGTCAGAAGTAAAGTGTCTCATTGTCATCATTTTATATGAGTTCAATTCTAGTAATCTGCAATCTTTAAAATCCAAGTTAATGCTAGTAGTTAAAAATGCAGTTTACTCCTACTTGAATGCCAAGCATCAAATAGCTGCATAATATTTTTAACAGCATGATTCCTGTTTCCCCCCAGAAGTGCTGGACAGGGATAGATCATTTCATTGTTATCCTAATTGTATCATTTACTTCTGAAAACACAGGCCCAACTTTACCCAGAAATCAACACTTGCTTGAAAAATGAAATGTATTGGTCTTTTAGCATTTTTTTCCTAGGTCTCCTGACACAGACTCAATTTCAGTATGATAAAAGTAGAGCTTAGTTTTCCTTTGCTTTCTGTGTCATTCCTTCCTCTCTGTAAAAATGCTGCTACCCTTTCTATTGATTATAACACCAAGCCCTTTTTATGCCTCCTGTGTTCTTCACTCCTTTTCTTAAACCAACAACATTTTCACAGCAGGATCTAAATTCCCCTTCCATTCCCTGACCATAACAAGCTTTCCACAGTCAAATATCTGATATATTTCCATGACCATCCAACTACATAACAAACACCAAGGCATGAATGCAGTCCTAAAGTACAGGATTTGTGGAAACAAAAGAAAACAGGGTAGTGACAAATGTCTGGCTTCCTTTACCTTGTCAGAAAGACTATTTGACTTCCAGTTCTATCTCTTCTCTTTGGGTTTGCTCCTGATCTTTCCAAATATCTCCTAATGAGCGAGCTGTTAGCAAATTCTACCACGCCAAGGCTTGGGTTCCAAACAAGAGCTTGCTTACTCTCCTGCATTTCTGCAAAATTCCTTTGAATAACACATACCAAACAGAAAAAAAATAAAAAATCTTTTTTTTTTGTGCGTGTGTGTGTGTGCTAATTTATAGCATTCTGCCAGGTGAGTAAATTAAATGGCTCCACAGAGAGATTCAGCAAATGCCAAATTGCACCAAACCTCATGCAAGGAACCTCATAGGAGTTTGCAGAGACTAGGATAAGTTAGGTGAGGAATCATCTTTCTTTGACAATAAAATATGAAATCACCTCTCCTTTTCTTACAAAATAGTGGCATAAGACTATTTATAATAGTTAACTCTCGAGAATATTCAGTTGCAGCTTTGAGCTTGCAATTTGCAACTGTTTGGTTAAACAGTTGGGAAGGAATCTATACACATGGAAGTTATTACCTCATGGCTTTTTATAACTTCATTACTAAATACCAGTGATAATCCTTCCAAACTCATTCTCATTATAAATAGAAAATTGTATTCTAAATGTATGCATCTGTATTTTTTATTATATAGTTCCATCAAATTGTTTTTGAAGGTTATTTCTTTTAGAAAGAAAAGTTAAACCACACTGAAAATCACAACAGCAAACTGCACAGTTCCAGTCATACATACCTGTGATCATACTTGATATGATTAATGGCAGAATGATGAGTTTGAGCATTCTCATCAGCACCTCCCCAGGAAAGGAAAAGTAGAATTTATCCAAGTTAGACAGCTTGCCGTATTCCCGTACCAGCATGCCAACTCCAATACCTAAAAGACATATTAAAAATGCAACATGATTTAGCTGTAATTTATAAGGGAGATGTGGAGAAGAGGGAAGAAAAAGAGAAGGTATATAAATCAAAAAAAGTGAACATTAAACACATTTTTATCACTGTGGTGGAACTTCTAAAACAAATCCTTTAGGTATTCCTTTTCTGTTCTATATATTGTGATAGTAACAGTAATAAACACCACAAATAATTGTGAATTTGGAAGATTTCTTAGATGTGTCTTTGGACACATCTTGATTATGCCTTCTGATTATCAGTCCAGTCCAGTGGTGACTTTTTACCTGTTTACACTAGCATCTGAAGATCCCAAGCTGTCATTAATAAATGAGTATTAAAATAAGCACTATTGCACATTAAAAAGGAAGTGGTATGATAGAGTACTTTGGATGCATTGTTGAAAATATACCTATGCAGCAGCAATAGTTTCAGTATTTACCACTGTACAGAACCAGAAAAGAGCATGACTACAATTAATAACTACTAAATTAATTTAATGATTTCAAGGAAACTGATCAAATAAAATAATATTCTGCATATTTCACGCTCATTCTTCTACATGACCAATCTACAAAATATTAGACAACGAGTATAATCAGTAATTCAGCCATGATGCAAAGCACTTTGTATTCTTATTATCTTTGGATTCAATGAATTATTAAATAATTCTAGCTTCTGAACAAAATAAATCATAGGCTGAAAGACAAATTTCTTTCAAATTTTGATGTGCATTATGTTCATTTTCTATTTTAACATGGGGTAAAAAGTGAAAATCACTGGTATAGGAAATGTATTCATCAGTGTTTTCAGAAAGCAGCACAACTTGTTTTCTTAAGCAACTGCAGACTCGTTAATTTGAATATACTCTTGAATTCATTATTTTGCATTGCACTTTCATAAATTGTATTTTACTTGCTTACTCTTTATCCCTTCTTTTCATTTTCCTAGTCTGGGTTCACAGAAATAAGTAAAACATTACACAAGTGTTTCCCATAAGTGTCTTAAATACCATCTCTACTACAGACGTTGTTTTAAAGGAAACATCATTATCATACATGAACTCTGAACTGTATTAGTCCTGGCTAGTTGGAACATTGAGAGACTCAAATTCTAACTAGATTTGATATTAGACAAGGCCACTCAAAAGCTTTCACTACCCATTGAGTGGTGAAAGGTTTTTTTCATATTAATAGCCTCAATGAAGTTATTAACAGACTCACTGAAGTTAATGGAATTGCTTAAATCCCTTTGTGTTTTGGTGATGTCAGTGATGTATATTTTGCAACACAAAAGCAAAAAAGGTGCATCCAGCTTTTACCATTCTCATTGACTCATGTAAACTTGCAGCATCCCAGGAAAGCTAGTAGCGCCCAAGCCAAACTTGCCTCTTCCCTCAGTTTTATTTTTGATGGTACACAAGGCTTTTAAGTTAGATATTGTAACATATGACTAAAGAGGCTGATAAGACAGGCCTCTCATTTTAAGTCATTGAAATTGTAGAAGCAAACAACACCAGCAGGTTCAAAAACAGATTTAGGCAAATCCACAGACAACTGGTCTGTACTGTTGATACTGAAAAAAAGAGATAGGGATCCCTTATTCAGTGGTGTACTATAGTAGAAACTCATTAACGTTCTCATATAGAAAGCAGGAAATTTTGAAAAAAATCTTCCCTAAAGATTCACCATGGGGGTGGTTTGTGATAGTTCTGTTGTCTAACTGGATGTTAGCTGACACAAAAATGTAAACTAGCTACTTGCACAGAATTTTCCTCTGATAGCACAGAAAGACAATGAACTGTCCTCTGTTCTGCACTTGCAGAAACAAAATGAAGGAAAATAGAAGCAGATTATAAATTCCAACCAAGTCTTTACTGCTAATAAGGAAAATGAACATGTTAACATGTTTCCAGGCAAATGGGAGCAACTATTAAGATTTTTGATTGGTGTGTTCTTTTCCAATGAACAAAGACAGCTTAAACTCCTTGCAATACATTGAATCTTAATAGTCTTGAAGATATTTGCAATATTATGTAAATGCCCTTGATCTATGAACGATAAGACACAATGCTCTCTACTTCTAACCTAGTGCTAAGCTAAAAGTGTTGAAAATAATTAATCAGCACTCTGAGATAAGCCCAAGAAAGATTACTCAGCTTGTAAAATGGTTACACGTTTTGAAGTAAGTTGCTAAGATTTTGATCCCGCAAATACCAGTGTAAACAGCTGAACATAAGCATATAAGTATTCTCCCTGACTTCAGACTATTCACACAATTAAGACAGACATATGCTTAAATTGCAGCAATACTAGACTGTATTATTATAAGACGTTGTGCAATTACATTTTATGATAAGATACGGGGCATTCTACTTTACATACTGGATACAGCTGTCAGGTTGATGTACAGCTGATTCTGTATTTCTGAAGCTTGCAAGAGATTTACAACAGTGAGGAAGTATGTGCCTTTCCCTAGATGCTGCTCCCTTCTTCATCACATAGCACAGTGGAAGACATCTTCCTTTTGCATACCTTGACACAAGGTAAAAAGCATTCCCATGCCAAACAAGATTACAGACATGTACCTGTAGCAACCTCCATTTTAACCAGACTCCCCCACTCCTGCTCTGATCCTACCAAGCTTATGTTGCAAATGGCTCTTGATGCTAGACATATTCCTCACAGTCTTAATAAAGATGGACATACACAATGTATTATCTGTGACAGAAACAGGCAAACGTTGCCCAGAGTAGTCAGAAATGTGCCTTCAAATGAAGCGTTAGCCTACAGGAAGGAATGTCACAAGCACTGTGCAGATGCGCACACTGAAGATGTCTAGCACTAACTCAGGTGATTCTGAGTTGTGTCTATCTTCAGGTTATACCTTAGATGTTTTAAAGGGAAAAAAAAAAAAAAAAAAGATAATTATGATACAAAGAAAGGGGGATACTTGTGATCCACTGCATTTTGAAATAAAGTTGATGAAAGCGTATTTTGCCTCCTTCTCCTGATCAGGAGTGACCAAGACATTTTGTAACTACGTGCCAAGTGGCAACTGTAATATTGGACTATCTGGAAAGTTTGATCGTTATACATTTAGTAGGATTACTATAAGGTAGAACGATTCACCCTCATGTTCATTCTTCAGAGGTCGCTTTTCTACTTCCTTGAATTTTACTACAAAAACTTTTCAGGTCCTCTCAAAACTTTACCAGAGTTTCCTTATGCTTTTTTGCTTGTATACCTGTAATAGTGTTTTTTGTTGTCGTTGTTGTTGTTTGTTTGTTGTTTTGTTTGTATTGTTTTGTTGGGGGTATTACTTATCTAGTGACAGTAATTGCATTGTTGCTTTCACTTCCATGTTCACACTATTATTTTTTATCAGACATGGCAACCATATCCATATTAACTTCTGCACAATAACAAAACACAGTAAAATGCAGCTACCATTTAAGTGAAGATAGCACCTACCATCTGCTGTTAGAATTTAGCATGGGAAAATAGGAAGATTTTTTTTTGGTAGCAGTAACAAGAGATGGTTAGTAAGCAGAATAAATTTGCTTATGTACTGGAACTGGATGATACAGAACTTTTTGATCCTCATCTCAATAACCAAGTCACTGGAATTTTCTTCCTGGGAATTCTAACACACAAAAAGAAGTGTGACCCAGCAGGAATATACTTCATGTGGTCACTACTGTTATTAACATCACACCAATTACAGCAACCCTGAACAAGTATAAATGAAAGTCTTGTAAAATGTTATTTTCTCTTTATGAATGCTACTCATACTCCACTATTTGTGAAAATAATTCTTACATGTGTAATTACATCTCACAACTACAAACTCTACAGTAGGCAATGCCTCTACTATTTGTTTTTTCCTGTCTTTTTATCTGTTTAACATTTATGTAATATTTTACTTCTTCCTTTCTAAAGTGCTGAACATCATTTTTCCCCACTTTCCCTCTTTCTCCTTCCTCAGTTTCAGCCACTCTTCTTCTCCACAATAAACTGTTTTTATTTCCTTTCTACCTTCTCTCCTTGCTTTTCCTTCTTGCACATGTGGCTAACTTAGGTTAAGATTATTACTGTAATAGTAATCGTCTACTTACTGCTTAATTGCACACACCGTTTAGGGTCCAGACTTCTGCAACAGCAGGCATAAGGGAATGAAGGTGCGTAAACAGTACAATCCCATGGCTTTAATTTAATTTTCTGAGGAAAATTTACCCTTTCAACTGTGCATCAACACTACATACTGTATAACATGGTATCTACACTTTCCCTCCCAGCAAATGCTAACACAGAAAGTGAAAGCTGTATTCTGTGCCCTCGTGACTGCAAAGCATGAAGCAGCCAGAGAAGGCCACATCTGTCTGACCCCATAAGCAACAACAAATGCCCTGGCATTACTCACCCAAGTAGCAGAGTCTTTCAGCAAACTTGGTAACAGACAGAAAAATATTCAAAAAGGGTTAAAAATGCAAACTAAGAGAAGATAGGGGTGAGGAAGAAAAAAAGATCTGAAGAAAACCACAAAAACTGAGTACATCAAAAGAAATCTGTTACTACCCATCTTCCAGACAGTCCCATGAGTTACAGCATAAAAATCTAGAGGGAATACACTTTTCTTTATAGGATGACCCAATTCTTCTGTTGTGTTACCAAAGAAAAGGGGAGCAGTATCTGGAGCTGACTGCACTGCAGGTAGCACTCAGTCAATTGATTACACCTACCAGCCCTCAAGCTTTTCAGAACCTGGAAATGATGGCTGTATGAGAACATGACAGAACCAGTCAGCCTTGCGTACGCGTATGTAATGAGCAAACCACAGAAATCAGTCAAAATGTGTCCTGGGAGACTACTAAATTGTAGGTTCTGCAGAGCTGCAAAGGTAACTGTGATGTTTGGACATCTGGTGAAAAATTATTAATCAGCACCTAACTACTAAAAGTATGTCTTTTTCCATATTGCTGTG